ATCCCTTTGTGTCTAGTTTTTAGAAAGTTAAACCATTTGGTATTTGGAGCTGTGTACAAAAAGTTATGAGTGGTACACTACAGCCTATCCGGGAAGAGTTGGAAATTGCGAAGAAAAAATTTGTGTTGCACAGGGCTGACTTTGGAAGCTTATATCTTGTAATCTATAAGGAACTGGGAGATGAGCAAAGCATGAAAGTTGTAGTCCTTGAAGTCTAGTTTTCAAAATGTTAAACCATTTGCAATTTGGAGTTTTGTACAAAAAGTTATGGCCATTATACTAGAGACTGTCTGGAAGAGCTGGGCATTTGTTCTTCGCGATCGCAAAGCATCTCCCGCGATCGCGAAGGGCAAATTTTGGGCTGAGAAATATTGTGCTTCGCGATTGCGAAGCTTTTTCTGCGATCGCGAAGAGTAAATACCTGGGAGAAGCTATATTTTGAGGTTTCAGCTATTTTTAACATATTTGGAGCTATGGAGCTCGGATTGAAGCGATTTTTGAGGCGATTTTCACCATATGGATTGGGGTAAGTGTTCTATATCCGAAAGTAATTATACTTTATGATTCTATGGTTATATTCATCATTTATTTCGGATTTAAATGGAAGAAATCAAGATTTTTGCAAAACTTTTCAAGAACGAAAATTCAAGATTTGGAGGTCAAGTTGTTATCGGAATTTGGTGAAATTGGTATGGTTGAACTCGTATCGGAATGGGTTGTCGGATTTTGTGAGCTTTTCGGAACCCGGGCACGTGGGCCCGAGGGCGATTTTTTCAACTTTTCGAACGGAGTTAGGAATTTATCTAAATTGAATTGTTGTGAGTATTAGAGTATATATTTATGAATTTTCTCATTTATTGGCTAGTTTTGGAGCGTTGTGCATTGATTTGAGTCGTCAGAAGGGCTTGGAAGCCGGTTTTGGAACTTCGGAGCGATGTGAGTCTCCTTTCTAACCTTGTAAGAGGGAATTATCCCCCTAGGTGAATTAATTGGATATGTGCTGCTATTTGCGGGGGCTACGTACGCACGAGGTGACGAGAGCCCGTGTGTAGCTACTATTATGTTTAGGTCCGGGTAGTCTAGGACCCAAAAACATGCTTTACTTGTAATACTTCTAACCTTATTGTTAGTTTAAATTGCTTAAATCATATCGAAGTGGCAAATGACTTTCTAAAAGAGTTAAACTTCATTTTCTTGACTTGTAAAAGAGAAATTTACACCTCCTTGAATAATAGTCTTGATTGACTGTTAAAAATGTGTGTTTCTGTGTGTACCTGCGTCGCATGTTTGATTCGCGAGCAGGGTGATTGTTTATTTACATTTGACCGCGTCGCATGTATGATTCGTGAGCGGGGTAATAGATGCATCTATGGTTCGTGTCATTTGACCCTCTGGCAGTGCACAGTTTAAATATTGTTGGATCGGGCCGTACATCCCCGGCATGAATTGCGCATGCTTGTATTGCTTGCCTTGAACTTTATTGAAGTTGATATTGCTTCTTCCCGGCTTGAGAATATATGTATAATTGATGAAAAAGGAAATTGGAAATTTTCATAATAAAGAAGGAATTGTTTACTTGCTTCACTCTATTGAATTACATTCATGTTCATGTAAACCCTCGACTTGTTATATTACTGATGTATCATCATTGGACCATTAGTAAGTGTCGAAGTCGACCTATCGTCTCTACTTTTTCGAGATTAGGCAGGATACTTACTGAGTACACGTTGTTTTCGTACTCATACTACACTTGCTATGCATTTTGTTGCACAGGTTCAGGTGTGGCTAGCGGCTTAGTGGCATAGCGGCATGGTTGGTACAGAGACTTAGGTGAGTTGCATTTATCGAGACGGCCCGCAGCCCGCAGAGTCTCCTTCAGAGTATTGTGTTGTATTTTTATTTCTGTCCACCTTGTATTCCGGACAGTTACTGCATTTTATTTTATTCCCTAGTAACTACTCATGCACTTGTGACACCGAGTTCTGGGATGATTATGGGGTATTTTGTATTGATCTCTTGACTTTCATATTTAATTTGAAATGAGTATCTTTTACTAGTAAAATTGAAGGAAAATCAGAGTTTTCACAATTATTTAACTGAGAATTTAATTAAGTATTTATGGTTGGCTTGTCTGACAACGGTGTCCGGCGCATTACGACCCATAGTGGATTTTGGGTCGTGACATACAAAATCCTCCCGCAATCCCTGCCGATTAGGATAATTCCTATTGTACATCCAAGTACGATGTTCTATCTATACAAATAAAACAAGAAGAAATTAATTTAGTTAATTCATATCCTAATCTTTTTTAGTTAATTAATTTCATATCCTAAAATTTCAATTCATATCCTAAAGGTTCAATTCATAAACTAAAAGTTCAATTCATATCCAAAAGGTTCAATTCATAAACTAAAAGTCCAATTCATATCCTAAAAGTTCAATTCATAAATTAAAAGTTCAAATCATAAACTAAAATTCCAATACATAAACTAAAAGTCCAATTATATTCCTAAAAGTTCAATTCATATCCTAAAAGTTCAATTCATATCCTAAAAGTCCAATTCATAATTTATACCTTAAATTAATTTATAAATTAAATAATTTAAATACATTAATTTGAGTTCTATTAAGAACCATAAGTTCATAATTTAAGGTAGTTCATAATTTCTACCTTAAGTTCATAATTTGTACTCTAAATAATTTAAATGCATTAATTTGAGTTCTATACCTTAATTCTAAATCTAATGTAGTTCAAATCAAAAACCCTAAAAATTATAATTTTAGGTAGTTTAAATCTAAATCTAATGTAGTTCAAAAATCCTACTTAGTCACACAAATACTAAATATACAAAAACTCTAAAAAATTACATAAAATTATATTCCAAAAATTAAAAATTAAAAAGCTAATAAGGTAGATTACTAACCTTGAACAACAATGGCAATGGTGGCGCGCGGAACAGAGGCGGGGCAGTGGTGGCACGCGGAACAGAGGCGGGGCAGCGGCTGGGGGCGCAGACTGAGAGAGAAGAGGCGGGGCGGCGGCGGCTCCGGCGGTCACAGTGGTGGCGCGGGGTGGGAGGATTGATTTGTGTGAAGGAAATAGAGAAGGGGAGGGGATTGTGTTGAGAGAGAGTTTGGGGAAATTTTGGAAAGAAAATAAGAGAATGGGAGGGGGAAATCTGTTTTTGAGTCTGGATTCACAAAAAGCGACCAACGTTGGTCTCTATTTTTGGTAGCTAATTAAGTTTTGACTGTTTGACCAAAATAGCGACAAACGTTGGTTGCTATTTTTTGACTGTTTGACCAAAATAGCAACCGTCGCTATTTCTAAAAAAAATTAAATAACTTTTTTTTCTATTTTTGTTTTCTAAATATTATAAGCTATAAAAAAATCTTATTAGCTATAAATATTTATTTTATTTAACTATAATTATTATAAATAATTAAAAACTATAAGCATAATCTTTTAAAAAAATTATATTAACTAGGTAATTATTTTAAATAGATTATAATAGCATGTATGTAAAGGAATTTTTTAAGTTATATTTAAGTATATGAGTAATTTCATACACACGCATAAATTATATTGTAATTGATGATCAATCTTATACATTACTACGTACGAATAATTAATGAATTGATAAACCAATATAATATTATTCTATGAATTGTGTGTGTGTGTGTGTGTGTGTGTGTGTGTGTGTGTGTGTGTGTATATATATATATATATATATATATATATATATATATATATATATATATCACACACACATACACACACACAGACACTTCACTGTAATACTATAACGTATATATAACTTGTTATAGTATATGTTAGTGTGTGTGTGTGTATATATAACACACACACTTTGTGCTACTTTAACTACATATATAGCATATTATAGTACATGATACTGTATTCATTATTTGTATTGTAACAGAGTTAATGAATTACATTCATTCATCACTAGGTTNCATGAAGTGTGTGTGTTATATATATATACACACACTAACATATACTATAACAAGTTATATATACGTTATAGTATTACAGTGAAGTGTCTGTGTGTGTGTTTCTATATATATATATATATATAACACGCTTTGTTGTACAACTTTAACTACATATATAGCATGTTAGAGTATATTTTAGTGTATTCATCCCTTGTATTACAAAAGTGTTAACGGATTACATTTATACTATTTAGATAGTAAATACAAAAGTGATTTTTAATTTTGACCAATGTTGACCTGAAAAGAGACCAACTTTGGTTGCTAATTATCCAGAAATTAAAATTAGCGATTAAAGTTGGTCGCTAAATTTAAATCAGATTTATTTATATTTTATATAATATTTAAAATAATAATATAATTGTTAAACGTTAGAACTGGGTCCCAGATTAGCGACTAAGATTGGTCTCTATCTGCTTCCCCTTTCGTAAGCGACCAACTTTGGTCGCTAATTTTAAATTATATCTATTTATATTTTATGATGTTTTTTAAATAATAATATAATTAATAAAATTTTATAAGTGGGTCCCACTTTAGCGACCAACTTACCAAGCAAGTCTGACCAGCCCGTTCAATATTTTGACCACATTATCGATCAAAGTTGGTCGCTAATGTATTTAGAATAATTATTTAATTATTTTCTCCAATTTAGCGACCAACTTTGGTCGCTTTTCTTGACAGACCAATTTTGGTCGCCAAATTTTGGTCGCTTTTTTCCGAATTTCTAGTAGTTTAAGTTTCTTCAGATAAAAGTTTCTGGAATTATCCAGTATGCAGATTGTCACTTAAATAATTAACATGTAATAGGTTTCATATTATGAGATGCAAGAGAAAAAGCAAGGCTTTGGTCTAGTGGTAAGAGTACAACACATAATGTGTGGGCTAGGCGTATATCACATGTTCGAACCTTGCTGCAGACAAAAGCCTGGTATATAAGTGGAGAAAGGTACAAGGGCAGACTCATTATCTACACTGAGTTTCGAACCGTGCACCATTAACCTCGGGATGTCATATTCTCAGCATCAAACTTAGATAGTTAACTGAATTACACACTGAATTGTGCGTAGAATTTCAGGGTACTTAAATTTACTTGGATAACAGAATGTAACTAAAACTCAAAACATGTGATACCACTTAGCGTGAATGCTTTCAATCTTCTTTTCAATCCGGCAAACATAGTCAATAGACAGAGCATCTTTTGCCCCAACCTCCAAGATTTTCTCTAATCTACGAACACTGTTCCTCATAAATTTTTCACTACAGCGTGAAGCAATGAAATCACACAGAACCTCTATGCAGGAGATATCCGCCAAGTACCTAAAGCCAAAAGCGTAAGGTTACAGAAAAATTTAGTAAAAATATCAGCCATGTCAGAGAGATCATCACCCCGAAAAAGAGGTTCCATACTTGATGTGAGCACCATTCCCACTGGCAATAACAATATTAATTGTTGCAACAGCAGCATAAATGATTGTTTCTACTCGAACAGGGTCTAACTCACCAACCTTCAGAGTTTGAATCAAATTGACCAGACTTTGTATAAATTCAGCCGCAATCATAGCCTGCTCACAATTGCAAACTATTCAAATAAATGGCTATGGTTTCATCCAATGAAAAGTCTCACTAAAAGAAAAAGAAAGAGAAAATTTGGGGGCCATTTCTATTCCAAATACAACAACCAACTATTTCAATCTCATATTCACCTATTCAACTACCCCAAGATCTGCAAAATCTGTTAAGACCTTAGAAGGCATGAGGATAATGTACCCAAGAGCTGAATATTTTAGCTGTCCTAAATATTGAAGACATACCTCTATATTCCCACGCTCGATAATCTCATACATAATGCTGCAAATGTTGTTGACCACGTCTGCGTCCTCGTTGTGGTTATCAAGCGACGTCACCAGGCAACCAAGGTCGGCGGGATTGAACTGGGTGGTGAAGTTAGTTATCGTTAGTAAAAAATAAAGCAATATGCATACCTGACACAGTTACATTTTAACAACAAATAAAAGGAAGAAAAATACCCAATGATCTGGATTTCGTGTTTCGATTCAAGCACGAAAGCTCCTTAAGACCCATGTACCTTATTAGACCCATCTGTTATCATTACAAATATTTTGAGGACGGGGACTATTACGGAATGAGACTCGTGCCTGAAACATCAATTGACGTTCATATCAGATTCAACCATAAGTTAGATATGAAAAAGTAGGTTAAATGAGGAAATTAAAACATTCCACTCTCATAAATATCTTCTCAGTTATTGTGGTGTTGGATAATGCCACGTATACCATCAATACGGTAAGAAAGTGCACAACATACATTTGTTAGCACCTCATCATCATCTGAACGAAGAAGCTCTAAAAGAGAATAGACTGCTGAAGTAACCTGACAAATGAATAGTAATCAGTAATGTAAAGACCAATAAGTTCTTTCTTTCATTTTACCAAATTAGAGGACCTCTGAGGATTTATTCCAATTTTCAGCAATATGAAATTGGCTCTCCATTTGGAGCAAGCTACAAATAAGTCTTGAAAAGCACTTGAAATTGACACATCGAGAGATATTTACATTCAAAACCTCCAATAATATAGGTGGAATATTGAGGAAAGGCATGATATGGTTAGTGTTGTCTGCTCATTTAAAAAATAAACAAATTATTTCTCTTAAAATTTTCAAATCCAATTTATTTGACGATGTTTGATAGGTCTTGAATTTAAGATATTAAATTTGACTTATCTAGTTATAGTAAAAGAAGAAGTTAAGCAACGACTTAGTTCGATAGAGGAAACATCACATCAAAGTTTAAGATCTGAATAGTTTAAAATTTATGAAAATTGCATAGAAATTGAATAACGTCCAACATTTTATAATGTTTCAAAAATAGAAAAGGTGTCACATAAATTGAGTAAATCATTTTTTTACGATGATGGAAGATGGTACACCCCACGGCAGGGGCAAAGCCACCTTTTACAAAGGGTGCTCAAGTGACCGGCCACCCTTTACCAAAATATTACGAAAAATTACACTGCGTATATAAGTAAATTAAAATATTGATTTTAGATGTTTAAAATATATATTGAACACCTTTTGTCGGGATTCTTTTTTAATTCTTTCAAGTTTGAACACCCTTGGAAACATTTTTGGCTTCGCCGCTATCCCACGGTGACGGTATTTTGAATTAAATAATTGAAAGCGTAAGAACTTTTCAACAGTCATTGACCAACCTGCTTAGATGGAAGATCCGGCCTGCTTTTAAAAATCAGTGACAAAGTCCTCGTGGCTTCTCTCTGCATCGGAAAATTGTTGTTCGCCTCCTTTAACTTGTTCAGCAAAGGAGTCAAAACACCATGTTTAACTTCTCCCACTACCAGCACAGCCTATAGATGGAAAGAAAATACATTCAGCCGGCTAATCGTTAAACAACATGTGGGTACGGGGGACAAG